ACCGACCTTATTACATATCTGGAGCAATTTTTTTTTTAATTGCCTATTTCGCGCAAAATTACAGAAAACTACTCATATTTTCAAAAGTTGAACATTACCTTCCTTCAAGACCTGACTTTAAGGAACAGACTTAATTTAACAAAAAGATCCCAATCTTCAATATTATAGTTGTAGGAAGACGCCGAAAAAATTGAATTATTGTACTTTCCGAAAAATCAAAATTGTCGTATACGACATTTTTTTTTTAATTGGTGCCATTCTTTTGAAAATGTTGAATATGTCCGCGGGTTTTCATGTAAAGAAGCCCCCAAAATTAAAATACCGGTCTTAAATTCAAGGGGCCGCGACATCAAGAACGATTGGAAATATATCAATTTTGAAGAAAATAGGTTGAACGATTTATGCGCTAGTATTGTGCATGGACGGACGGGCACTGACAAAGTTTTGCATCAACCGATTTTTCAGTATCAACGCAAAAAAACATGGATTCTGGATTTATCCACTTGTTCGTTACCATGGCCCCGCAATAAGTTTTTGTGCCGAAAATTCTGTTTTCCTGCGCCCGATAATACTTTTTACTTTCCCGTATACGTACGTATATATAAAGTAATATACGTAGTATAGAAAAGTTAATTAATGCTGCGCAAAATTGATTTTGAGATACACGTTTTGGGACCCAATAATACCGAAAATGTGTTGTTTTTTCTTCTTCAAAACGCCCGTCTTGTGTCACTGAACACTACTACCGCCTAAACCAAGAGTAAGACCTTTTCCAAATTGAAGAAACCGATGTCGATCTGGCTCACGAATCGAATCTGAGATTTAAAAAAGAAAAAAAAGGGGGGGTATTTTACATGAAGTACATTTCATTTTCAAAATTTCGTTCACTCACAAAACAAAACATTTTCAAAATTTTCTCAAAAAGGCTCTATTTTTTTCTTTAAATTTCTTGTAAGAATAGAATAACACACACTTATAAACGTGACACATGCCCAATTTTCACGGTTAACTCTGAATTTTCGAAAATTTCAAAAGTATGCATTTTGTTCGGTGTCTTCCTACAACTAGAACATTAAAGATAAAGATTTTTTTCTTCAAAAACAATGTGTTCTCCATAGCGAGTTCTTTTATAAAGCCATGTACATTTGTTTGAAAATTTTAGTACTTTTCGCTCAATATTGCTAGCAATATGAACATTTTTTTAAAAAATACAAAAACAATACTTTCTCAAAAACCCGCACTAATTTTTTCTTTAAACTTTTGGTAGGAATGCTGAATGTACTTTTGGTAGGGATAGTGCTGAATGTAAGATGACAAACGCCATTTTGCTCTATTCTTTTGTTGTTGTTTTTCTTCAAAAATTACGAAAATTCATATTTTTACTAGTGTCGTTAATATACTAGCGGCAATTTGTTCACATTATTGTATTTATGAGTACATGTGCTTTGAATAGCCATACAAAGTTCCTCGAAAACTACCGTTTTCTGTGAAAACTAGCTCAAAACTTCGCATTTTCAGAAACACTCAAACGCCATTTTCTCCAAATCGGTTCCAATTTTTTTCTTCTAACGTTTCGAACGGGTAGTGGTATTTGCATTCTTTAATATGAAGTAAAGTTAATTTCGATGTATTTTTTCTTTTTCCAAAATTACCCAACTGTAATTTTTTTTAAAGATTTCTCACGCCATTGATATGCACATTTCCAGCAATCTGTAAACACTATTGTATTTGTGAGTTAAAGTACTGAAAATTACTTAAAATTAAGTTTTTCGAAAACTCAAACATTTTCTCATACTATGAAAAAGCTTCAAATTTCAAATTTACACTAGCGCTGAACCGCTAATTTTTAATAAATTTTTCAAAGACAATCGTTATTTAGGACGAAGTTATACTGTTATTTTATAATATTAAAATAATATTTCTGCTCTACAATTAGGAAACAAAAAAAAAATAAGAAAATGTCTAACAAATGTACTTTGGGCGGCGATAGACGGCAGATGGCAAAATATGTGGCAAGGTCGAATAGCTAACAGAACAAAAGAAATATAAAACTAATACGGGAATGTCTGTGCCATTCTGTAGCACCACTTCTTTTTACGGCGAGAAAGTTTTAGAATATAAATTTGAAGATTAGCAAAATTAAAGAAATTACTAAAAATATTTTTTTTAAACTTGTTCCATTATAGGGGGGGTGAGTTCAATCCTCTTACCCCCCCCCCTCCTGAATCTCGCCTCTGCTATGGGCTCATCCACTTGAAGAGCAAAAACTCTGCTGCATTAAGTTCTTCATTCACTGCGATTTCAACATCCTTAGACATATCTTCAATATATGCATACGAATTGTATTATTAGATAACGGAATTTTCCATATTTTCTTTTTACTTTGTAACGGGTAAGTAATGAATGATTTCAGCAGTGGAGCAATACAGGTCAGTACTCTTCAGTTAGAAGACAAAGAGCTGTTAAGCCTACTATGCATAAATGACGATATAAAAACAAATAAGAAATTTTGCGGCACACCTACGGAGGTCTCTCGACACATCGATTGAGAATCGTTACTCTAGATCCTTCTCCGGAGTCCGTGCTCACTCCATACTGATTCGCCAATAACATCCGCTTTCTCTGGCAAAGTAAACGCCATCACCTCGACATTACTGCCGAAGGCTTCGTTCACACGGCACCGCAAACGTTTCTTCCTCTCAAGATGCACCTCATACGTGCACTCACCATCCCACTCTGCGAAAGCCATTTTACTCTTCGTAATAACTAGAGACAGAATTTCCATGCAAAGAGCTGTTAAGCCTAGAACTCCAATGTACGTTTTTATTTAAGCTTCGTAGAGATTTCAAACTTTGTAAATATATGAATCATGAAAAACTCGTTTAAAAAATTCATACTTTTTCCGTGCACGTTTGCATCTTTGATAGCTTTTTTGGATAAATTCATGCATATTGCACGCTTGGACGTTTTTTTAAATTAATACTGTATATTTTGACTCCTATTTAGCATATTAATTACTTTCTTATTATTTCTCTGGCAAATTTGTACTAATTATTACAACTGTCGTATATTTTGTATAAATAGTACATTGGCCTTAAATCCTATTAACACGCAGTTGTCTTTAATGCCTATTGTTCTACTGCACATTTTAACTGTCCGTTACACTACTTGGATTTGTGACGCGAGTACATGTGCGGAAAACAACGATCGCGAAATGTGGCGAATCAATGCCATATGATACGCCGCAAAGGATACGAATGATAAGTGAAGCCAAAAGTCAGTATCCTTTGATAACTGTCAATTGGAGAGGAAACAATTTTTTTTGTTACTCGAGTATTCTAATTGTTTTACGTGGTATTTAAAATTAGTTTATTAAATAATAATTGTTTCATTAACCCGACAGTGCTCGCAATAAGTCTGAGAGATCCAAGGGACAATTTTATGTTCCTGAATTAATGCGGTGCATTAGTTGTCTGACATTGTACTTTTCTGAGAAGCCTAGCCTTTAATATTTATCGTTTCGTTGAATCATTTCCCTTCAGCATATTTACACTTGATAGCTGCGCTGCGCGCATGTCATGCGTTGCATGCAATGGCGCCAATGCATTCTGAGTTAATGCCGTACGCGGTACATGTCACGGCAGTATTTTCAGCCGTGTGTATGAGAAGTGCCAACAGAGAATGTAATAAATTGTCTTATCTAGGATCGACTGCCATTATTTCTTACCAAAGAGAAAGTTGATGTGCAGGGGACGTCTGTAAGGAAATGAAAAAATGCAAACCTTGCAAAACGGAGACAAGGCAGACTTTCTAAATATGTTTGTGAAAAATGTAAAATACTCGTATATGTTTGTTTAGAACACGCCAAAATCATTTGCGGAAATTGTATTTAATAAGATAATACGATGTTTAATGATTTTTGCGTGTTCTTTGACAATTTTTACTTTTCTCACCATAAGTATTTAGATAAGATTTCTGCAGTGTAGGATTCATGAATAAAAGCATTGAATTGAATTAATGCCATATTGTACGTGGTGAGACTCAGGCCATCAGGCCTGTTCTTCCATCTGACCACGCATTGTATGTACAAATTAAATAAAATATGTATTTCAGTAAATACAGCTATAGATCATTCACATTAACAAAAAGTTGCAGCTATATCTGAGAGATACATTACATGCACTGGCACAAGTCTACCAATTACAGGCACTCCTAGGCATTAAATGCAACATTAGTGTTGCTCCAGTGACCTCGAGGAGAATAACATCTGAAGTTATTAGGGCTGCGTTTTCGCAATATGTCAGTATGATGTAATGAAGAATCGAAATGAAAAATGATCCACAGTGATACTTTGATTAAGCTCAGAAAACACATTTAATAAGATTATAAAATTTTCCAGCAAAAAAAGTTTCAAGAATGTTTGAGTTAATAAAATTTTAGTGGTACCTTAGCCACCAAATAATTAATACAAAATTAACACACAGGTTTGCCACTCATTCTCTAGAAGAAATTTCCCCGACTTCACAGTTTTCCAGTTTATTTTATTCATTTTTCACTAAAAAGACTTTAGAGAATTTCACACTACACAAAAAAATTAAAGGAAGCCAGATACTAATTTGTCATTTTTTTTTGTCTACTTCTATAATGACTTCAAAATGTTCTAACAATAATTGTTAGAAGAATTCTTCTTCTATTAATTCCCCAATTTTCCCCTTGACTTTTCCAAAACAATGAAATTAACTGATTTTACCCAGTTTTCCAGAAAGTGACCACGCTGATGTAGTCAGCCAAAAACAACATTATCCTTAACGTCAATAGAAAAAAAAAGCCCTTTCAAAAACCATCATTTGGAAAACACTAGAACAATAATAAAAACTTATCTCCCCTTATCAAATATTTAGATTTTATAAACTTTATTCTACCCAAAATGTAACTTTAGATTATTGTTCTTACTGTAGATGTTTGTTCTTTATATCAAATTAATATTGCAGTAAACTTACCCGAACAGGTGCCCTAACTTTCTTAGGGGCACTTTTCTGCCTTGCAACAAGAGAAGCCAGATGTTCTGTGTTTTTACTTGGCAAAACAGCCACAATAGTTTCCCCATTTTTTTTAGAAATAGAAACATCAGGAATACTTCTTAGAAATTGTTCTAAGGAATCAAACCCTAATTTCCGAAAGGGAATTGAGTGTCCTATGAGCACTTTGAAGTCTCCTGCAATTTTTTAAAAATAACTAATTAACAATCATTAAAATACACAAGTAAAAAAAAAATCGGTTGACTACACAAAAATCATTACTAATTGTAATTGACACAACATAACAAATTAATGAACTCAACAAGTTTATGCAGCTGAATATTTTCTGACTGGATTATTTTAATCTTAAGAAGGTGTTAGCAATCTTGATGAGACAATAAATCCACCAAAAATTTGTTCACCTTCTCTTGAAATCAAAATCCATAATATTCAGGCAATAGCATCTATATTCACATTCACTGTGCACGTTCACATTCGCAATGACGATTGAGGTGATTTTGTGCTTTATTTGTTTTATAAAGGGTATAAGCTTTACAACATATCAATACCTTTTACTATTACTCATATCTGTTTTATCATTCTTCTCAAAATTTATAAATAAATTTTAAAAAAAGTTTGTCACGAACTTAACATTGTTAATGGTAGAAATTCAAGCTACTGGAATATTGAAAATTTTAACGATAAATTCTCATTTCTTTGGTACCCTAGCAATTACCATACATCTTAACTTATTTATTTAGTATTATTACAGTTAATGCACTTGGTTTTTTGATAAGACTACTAAATGAATATGAAAATACTCTTCATATTTAATTTCCTTTTGAAAATCGAATAAAAAGTTGTCAATTATATTTTAGTAGTATACATTTGACATGATTAAGATGTATCAGAACTATCAAATCTCAAATTTTTATATTGACATCCTTAAAACCTTGTGATCTAAACATTTTAAAAATCAATTCATAACTCGAAAATAAAATTTTTCACAGATCAAAGGTTGTTACAATGACGCCAAAAGCTTCTTGTGATAAAAAATTTGAACTATCTGACCAAAAAACATTAGTACATAGAGAAAAGTAGGTTATTCTTTTTATTCAAAACTTTGGGAAAAATTTAAATTAGTCTGCATAGTTATGAAGAATAAAAACATAAGTACTTGTTTTAGAACTTTGAACTACAAGAGTTTTTGCCTTGTATGTAATGTGACATATGCCTCATATGTGTAATGTGTATTCATACTTTATTTAAAATCATAGAAGCACCAAAATCAAGTAAATGAATATATATCTTCCTACATGTAGGTTTACTAAATATGAAATTTACACATACAAGCATTTAAAACATAATATTCAAGCAGAAGCAAAATACAATTTAAAACTCGCATCAAGTAAAAATATCAAGTCTTTAAAACCAGTCCCATTTTTGATGACACAATCCTAATATCTGTTTTTTTTTAATGCAATTACTCACTTTGTTCAAAATCTTTATTCCACACTAAAGGTTTGTACATAGTACTTACTGTCCAGGCAGGGTAATGGTATTCCTCCTTTGACAGACACTAAACATGCTTTGAGATTGCGAATAATCTGCTCCATTTCGTCCTCCATTCTCTAAAATTCAATAACAAGATCAAAATTGCAAAGGCATTATTACAGAAATAAATAATAAAACGTAAGATGAAAATGAAAAGACAATATGGAAAATCAATGTATTTCCTAATCCAGTAATACAAACTCGCAAAGACATTGTCATGAGGCAACGAAACAAAAACAATTCTGCCCACATTTTAGCAAATAATATTTTTTGTATTTTATGAACTGTCGTTCGTAACGAAGCACCATAACCTAGTTCCACAATATATCAACCTACTTAAATGGTATGGCCTACATACAGATTCGAAAGAAGCGAGTTTGTCATATTCGCAACACAAGTGAAAACTACTCACACTTCAGTAGAAATGTCACGTAATTTAATAGCAGCACATATGTTCACCACCTCATAGCACAAACACAAACTCCGAAACACCGCCACTTCAACACACGAGCACAACGTTAAGCGTGCAGCAACTCACAACCATTCCAATACATGCTCGACTGGGATAGGCCTCCGCCTCTGACGTAGATTTAGGATTGGTCTCTTTCTCCGTCTAACTAGTAGTCTTCTTCTAACTAGTAACTTCTTGAAAATGAATGCTTACGCAAATGAAATATATATATATATATATATATATATATATATATAGATTTCAAATGGCCAAGTTTGAAGAGGTCCTGCGGCGATCAACCAATTTAAACTGTGTGTAGGTTCTCGTAAAGCTATTGAGGTGTGAACTGTCTTTTCATCAACATATTTTTACACTGACTTAAATAGAAAAACTTAAAAAGTAATATCTTTCCCACAATTTGATTTTAGTTTATGCTTCGCTGTTGACTAATGTTATTAATAAATACATCTATTCGTGGAAAAAGTTTCGCGCGGGAAATTTGTATTCGCACTACAAGTTGCCCAAAAACACTGATGTGTTCAATTAACAGACGGATATATAGTTCGTTTATGTATGGTTCACTTCATGGTTTGTATAAACGAGGTAATGGCTTTTTGATTGTTAATACACAAAAAAAATATGTGACAGGACGTTATAGAAACAGCATTTTTTATAATAGCTGGCATTATTGTAATTGTCTTCTTTAAAGCCTGTTTTACACGATCATTTTTTCATCAGTTTTCGCCGGGTACAGAAAAGATACAGGCCAGGACTGGATGTAATTTGTCCGCAAAAATTGACCTGCATGCTTTAATTTTGCGGTACAAGATTTCATCCGAGTTGGACTACCGGCTCCTGTGCAGCACTTCACGAGAGTCCTCTCTTGTAGTTTGTTTATGCTGTGGAGCGATTGTAGTAGATGTGATAGCTTCTTGATGTTTAATGTATATGTGAAGCTGGTTATGTAAAGAGAAAAAAGTATGCACGTATTCTAATATTGTCGCATCCCGAGCTCAATCCTGACCTAACCTAATTAAATTGTTACCCACAGTATGCGAGTTCAAATTGTTTGAACTTCGTGCCGTATGCGTGATTGTGGGAAGTATTTTTCTTCATGGTGATTAGTACAAAGCAGAAATGACCGTGGTAAAACACTCATCCAGTTTCGGCACCGAAACATTACTGCGTAAGAAAACAGAACGTCCTTTTTTCCATCCATTTACTGTACAGAAAAATGATGAAAAAAGGATGCAAAAATGACCGTGTAAAACAGAGAACACACAAAGTATACAAGTACATTCTGTTTACTTCATGAGAACAAATACTACCTTTTAGAAATGTCACCAGTAATACAGAGAACATTACAACATAGACGCATAAGCACGACAAAATACACGACAAAGAGAAAAACAATCCAACAAAAATAGCATTACATCATTTGTTTGTAATTTAAATAACTGAGTTTCAATAAGTTTTTATCCACTCCGTCAGCGTATCCGCAATCCCATAAATCCCCCTTCCCCTCAAGACGATCAACGTCGAAGCGTGCTCCAGTTGCCTCTTTTCTATGAGCACCGCGAAGTCACAGTTAGGCAGATCGAGACACAGCAGGTCCATGGACACATGACGACCCGGGAACTCCACATACAATACTTTATTTACAGTGTCCAATTAATTCATCGGGAGTTTGAACGTCATGAATTGAATTAATGCCTTATTTTACGTGGCGAGACTCAGGTCATGAGGCCTGCTCTTCCGTCTGACCACGCAAATTTCGCGACTAGCAGAGAATGGAAGTATTTCTTGGGCGAGAAACAGGCGATTTGAATTTAGCTCAGAAGCGTCATTTAGGCTTGAGGGTCTCTTACATGCAAGTAAATCTACTAACATGGGACAGCTGGCTTTACTTCTCCTCCGAAGGAAGGAACATATGAAAGAATTATTCACCCTTACAAAACCACGGCTTCGATCGGGTTTAAACCCGCCAACTTCGGTATAACAGTCCGATACGCTAACCGTTACACCACCACCGTGCGCGATCAGTGACGTCACTGTAGTGGCCATTAAGCTCCTGAATGGATGACACCGTAAAATCGTTTGATCTGTCAAAGGAAACTAAATAAATCGGAGTATAATGGGGCGGAGTTCCTGGCCGATAAAATGGAGTGAAATGGAAAGGATCTGATAAAATAGAAGTGGGGCAAGCAGTTGAAGACGACCAAAGGGAAGTGATACAATAATTTTTGATTCAACGTCAACGTGTAAGAAGGCCAAGATTTGTAATTGTTTAACAGGAAAAGCAAATTCAAAATTAATATATCATTATCATTGGAAAAGGGAATGAGCATCAGTAAGAATGAGTTTTGAATATGTGAAGTGTGAATATGTTTGTAAATAGTTTTTATTTTTGTTAAGGTTTTATTATTGTGACACACCGAAAGTAATCGAAAAAAATTATGGACTCTTTGTATAGAGCGATTTTCATAAGAATGAGCCAACGTGATAGTTCGCTAAACAAGTGAACATCACGGGTAATTCGCAGAAGTATACTCTTCGCCGCGGCAGCCGTTCAGCTACGCCTCTTCGTGAAGTGTTTGTTTACAGCTCCCATGAAGACATAGTAAAGTCTAAGAGTTTCGCTGAGGCACGTACGCAAGTCCAGGAGAAATTGAAAATCAATTTCGTATGTGTAAAAATGTCTTAACATGCTCTCATATTCAGTAAAATAAAACTGCCCCGAATGTAAATAGAAAGAAAAATGATTTTTCAGGGGACTTTCAAATACCTTTTTCTGGGCGTTTCACAGCGAATGACTCATGCATTTTTGAAGTGGAGGGTGGTTTATTTATCATTATAACATATCAATACTTGGTACTACGAGTATGCTCTCATAACTCAAATGTGACTTAATAATTGCTTTATATGTGATTAATGTTCTGCATGCCAATGTATTCCTTAATCTATCTAGTATGTCTATTTTCATCTCTTGTTTCTTGGATGAATAATAGACATATCTTTGTATTCACATTCACCAATTAGAACATTTAAACTGAACGCAATCTTTAATTGTACTCTTGCATCCACAGCTAAAGGCATACTAAATTTTCTTCAGAGTTCACAACCGTATCACAGTTATATAAAAAAATAAATATAATAAGCAAAGCAGTGAACCACGAAACGCTCTCGAACACAGCTACCTTACAACGCAGGAACCGGCAACACGTGCATCTCAACCAGTACGCATCTCACATTCAAGACTCGATTTTAAAACAAACATTATACTTATCGTACACAAACTGAATTCAATGTAATGCTTATAAAAAGACTTTTTACCAAAGAGCACATAGCTCTGCAATTTTTAATTTCAATTATTTATTGTGGCGAACAATATTTTCGTCGGACGAAGACAACCCACAAAGAAGAGCCGAAGCCATTTACAAGTTAGCCAACTGCAAACAAACGAATAGAGGATGAAGAGTCTAATAGGCTCAAGGACACAACGACCACAGAACCTTCAGTTGGGTTGCCAGCACTAGTTGCCACTTTGGCTCATTCTTCTACAAATCTCTATATATTGGCAAGAGATAGATGAACCCTGTTGTAATATGCATCCATGGGGACGGCGGCGAGATAAAATAAATAAGATGACGTGAGAGTAGAAGGGGGCCGGGGAGAAGGCTGAGGGATATGTGTGGCAGATAGCGTCGGTCGAGGCTAAAATAATGGAAGGAATAGTGAATTTTTTTATCTTTGAAATAAGTAAGATTGTTAACAGCTACGCGGAGTAGTGAGGAGCAGGATCCTACATTTCAGGCGTTGTACGTGTTAGTGATATTAGGACATTGGAGCGGACAAAATATGAAGAAAGATCTTCGTGGTGACTTCCACCCCAGAAGATGAAGAGCATGCGAAGATCGGACACGTATATTGAATAAATATAACTATTTTCAATAATTTTAGAAAATATTAAATAGAAGTCATGACTGATTTTAAAAAAATACGAACTCAAGTGATTTGTATAGAATAAATGAAATAAAATACCAAACGTTGATTGAAATGCTGATTATTAACACCTACGTGCAATTAATACTTAATACTAATAGTAGATATTAATAAAATGGAATTTCCAGAAAAACTTGCCCATTCCTACGAATTGCACGTCAATCAATTGCAGTGGCGGTGGGGGAAGTAAAATTACGAATCGACCCCGCGTGATTTGAACTAGTGGAGCAAGCAGGGCAAATTTTGTAACTAATAAAATCTGAAAACATTATAATGGCAGACCTAGTAGGACAAACTGGCCGAAAGTGTTTCTGGAAATTCCAGGATTGACACGAATAATCAACTGAGTAACATACTCGTGAAAGAAATTGCCTACCATTTCATTAACTCAAAGAAACTATTAAGAAGTAATTTAAGTAAATTTTTTATGATATTTTTTAAAAATTTTATTGAAGTATAATTCAATATAACAATATGGAGACTAAAGGAGAAAAGCGCAATCAGAAACTGCTAATGAATAGGAAAATCATTTGATATCTATTGGGGAGGATATTAATGTTGAGGTTGAACCACTTGAAAGTCTAGAAATAGAACCGGTACTTGAAGTAGGGGAAGCCGTACGACAGGAAAAAGTATTATCAAAATCGCCACCCTTAAGTTAAGATACGAATAGTTTGATTTTAAGTTTTTTTATGGAAATGAAAGAAAATTGTAAGAAACTTGATTCTAAATTAGAAAACGCAAACGCAGAACTTAAAGAAGAATTTGTTAAACCCAATAATAAATTCGCACAATTGTAAAGATAGGTTAATGATAAATTTAATCAGTTAAATAAGAATTGTGGAGATTTGGCGTAAGAATTGCGAAATGTAAAAGGTGAAATACGGGTGGAAATGATCCAGCTACGCGCGGATGTGGAAATAGAAATCAATAATGTGAATCCGAAACTTGATGCATTTATGAACCAAGCTAAAATTAAACGGAAAGTACGGGAAAATTCAATATTCAAAATCAATTCATGTTATAAATTTGGAGGCAATTATAAAATTACAAGATGACAGTCAACAATGCAAGGAAATGAAGAGCGGCGAGGTGTGTGCTGAAAAATGGCGTGATATTGTTCATTAGGAAAATACGAAAGTTAATAATGATTGGTACGAAAGTTGATAATATGAAAGTTGATAAGTAAATTCTAATAGCATGATAATAGTCAGCAGGAGAACAAGAAGAGGC